TAAAAACACAAAACTGTTTCATGCATACTGATAAAACATTAAAGCTCAACTCAGCTGCTCAACACTGGAAAGTCATCATAATGGATACAAAAACAGATCAAACATGATAAGCTAATACAACAACACTGCATTTCAATTCATTTAATTTTTATTTTTTCATTTCCAACAAAATACAATACATAATAACGAAAACAATGTAAAATGTATACAAAACATAGTTACATTTGTAATAAACAAATCTTAATAATAATTTATACATTTCAGTAAGACAAAAAATGAATTTTAAAATTTAACTGCATTTATATTTTGAGGAAATAGAGAGGTCCACTGAAAAGCAAAGCTTGTAAATTGTGGACCCCTCAGATAATAATGAGTGTGAACAAAATATGGAATACATAATGCATGATTCCAGCAGTCTGTGTCTGGTTACACAGCATTCTCACGGCATTAGGTTTACCTTACTGCAATCTAGCTCACATGCATTGTATACATTGTGACATGCGTCATATTTCAACAAAGCCTGAAAAGTAGCCGAGTGGCGACCTATCTCATTTGAATTTTAGATTATTTTGAAATTCTTTCATTGTGTGAAGCACTGCCTTAGCACCTGGAATATGCACTGCACACATTCAATGCACCTTCTTTGTACATAGTACACAATCTGCTTCAATCTTACATTCTCCAAAAAGATGAATACCTTCTCAGATCCCCGCTCTTTTATAGCCGAATGGCGACCTATCTCATTTGAATTTTAAATTACTTTGAATTTCTTCTTTTGTGTGAAGCACTGCCTCAGCACCTGGAATGCTGGTGCGCCTGCGCATGGAGCGCCAGCACTACCAGTGTTTCTTCAAGTGCTAAAACAGACAGGGTCACACTTCGGGTGCAATTTCTCGAATAGCACGTGTTTCCAGCACTCATTTTTCTGCTCGTCATCGCTTCCCAAATGCTGCATGCACGCCAAGGGCTATATACTTGGCACGTGTGGTGCAAATTTGTACCCAGCACCCGTGATTCAGCACTTCATTTTTTAGAGTGTACTCCTTAATATCTTTTCAACTATTTATTTGACTAGTGATCGAATAGGCCATGTTGTTCCTTGACTCAAATTTACCAACTATGACTGGTCTATACCTCTAACGGAAGACATGTTTTGGAAACGCCCCTTCTCAAAAAAAAAATGGAAGCTATTCTTACAAATCATGTGAAAGAATATGTTTTTAAGATACAAATTTTGCCGGGAACAGCCTAATTGATATATTTGGTAAATTATCTATCCGGCCTGGATATATATTGCATAGTCCCATATACATCTTTCTGTGTACAAAGCTTGTAACTTAACCAAGACTGGGGCAAATTTCTCATTATTTTGATTATTCCAGAACCTTGCAGTACACACCAATGCTTATATGCTAGATGATCAACCTTTTCTGATCGATACCACAATGTTTCTTTCACAATGCAATCGCATGACTCGAACTGGATATGAACTTTATGTCGACCTCATATACTTAGTATGGTGTTTGACATTGTAACAAGAACACAAAGCCATGAGTTAGAGCGTTATATGTTTCTTAATATATACATTTGAAAAATAATATTTAGCCATCCCTATATTTTAATATATAAGAAATGGTTGAATATATATTATATGGCACCCCTCTAAAAGAAATAGAGCATGTATGGCGTTAGACACATTTGTTTACGTATTGATTTGGAAGTAGAATATGCCAAACGATGTTAAGAAAAATTGTTTTTTTTTTTTTTTTTTTTTTTTAATTTTTTTTTTTAGTATCTGGGATTTTAACGTTGAAACGTGTGCTTTTTACACAATACCCGACGATATTTTCCGAGCTATGTATCTACAGGCAAACCAAGAATACAATGGCGACAGAACTGCTTGCTTAAAAACCAACGTAGGCCTCTGGTATTTATAAGCCCCAAATTTGACTATCTAATTTATATGATAATAGGCCTATCAAGAAACATTGTTGTATGGCTGTTACTTCATCAATCCAGAAGTTAGTATTACTATTTTTTTTCGTATTCATCTCAAACACTATTGCTCGAACTGTCAATTTTCAGAGCCTATGTAGGTAAAGTGCTTGAAACTACCATCATTTCTTAACTTAGTTTGTTTACAAAAAAATGTATTCACTTAACTAAGGACCGTAAACTTGTCAAGCACTCGTCTCTACGAGAATACTCATTTCGATTATACTATAATCAATAAGATAATAAATAGAGAATAATTGAAACCTAGTCGGTTTTAGAGATTTTTGGGAGGTGATTTTATTTGTGTTGTTTGTATGATATCTCAATGTATCACGGTTGAGATGATCTTTGAATCTTTATGCATACTATACTGGTCCTATTCAAAATCAATAACTTAAAGATGCATGATAATCAATTGACTTTTCTCCTTAGATACTTATCGATACTGATACTTTTTCATGTTAAAAGTATTTCAAATATTATAGAAAATGTAACGAGATTATAGTCACTGTACTAACCGGGATATTTACGGATAATAAACATTAAGAGTCAGTTGAAGTATGGGAGAATATCTCCTTTTTAGGAGACTGTCTCGACTATTAAATGTCGGAGACTTTTGTTAGGATTTTTGGTAGCCTATTTAAACTTGGGAGACAGACCCTCATTTGGGATACAATTTAACGTCATTATATCAGAATTAAATATTGCATGCCCATGGATTATGAACCACTTTTCATTTACTTTGACTTTCTATGAAGCGGTCATCTAAGCCTGTGGTCAGGGGTAGACCGAAATCTTCAGTCTCTGATGTCGACGGTTGTTCTGCAGAGTCTGGCTCCACTGACCACCTTTCAAGCTCTAGTTTTATTAAAGAATTAGAGAAATTATTAAAGAATATGCCTTGGCCACCTCTTCAAACTTTACATGCAAGAGCCAAGAATATGTTGGGACATATTCAATGACCATTGGCTTATTTCACGAGAATGCATTGAATTTATACATTTTGACTGGTCTACACAAACAATCAAACTTACAATAAAACTTAGTCCGCGATTCTGAAGTACAAAACGAGCCAAGTACAATCCAATCTTCTCTGCGAAGTACCTAGGGGGCAAAAACCCCAATTTGGGTGGTTTTGAAACATGGCGTGTTGTAAAAGGTCGTTCAGTCTCAACGTGTTCGGGGGACATCCTTGCACAATTTCTAGTTGGACTACCTTTGCAACAGGGAGCGGGGGTAGGGTGAAAGTTCTGAACCACACCATGCACTATGAACATGTTAAGACGACAATTTATGTCTGTCGCTTGGAACAAGTCTTATTTTATGTATTATTTGACCTATATCCTGATTTGTAGGAAGCCAAGCGTTCTTCCTGCTTTTGACGTCACTGACTCAATGTGTGACTTCCAGCTAAGTCGTTCATGGAGTTTAAATCCCAATTATGCTTGGCTGGAAACTTCACACAAATCTTCACCTCACAGGGTGTAGGTGTGGGTGATTATGTGCCCTTTTCCGGTGGATTATCATGGTGTATCATTTTCGATTAGTCCTTAATTTCAATTCAATTTCACATTAAGACTTTTCTTTTGAGGTTGCCATCATAAGCGAGGCGTGACTTGAATGATGGTCTCCTGAAATTTTTCCATAGATAGTTAGGATAATACTTTAAATTCATAATAACTATTAAGTTCGTTATTATATGTATATATAAATGTAAATCACATGTTGACATGAAGTTATTGTTTGCATAATTGTTGTATACCTCACGTTAAAGGTACTACGTCCCTTTTGCAGACCAAAAAATGAAAAGGTTAAATTCCAATGGCATTTGAAAGATAATACTAATTTAGAACTCCCCTCAAAAGAATGGGGCTTGAAAATGTCTTTAAGTGGGAAAATAACGACTATTAGTTGTCAAATTGACTTAGGAACTATAGAGCCAATAATTAATAGTCTTGATTTTCATACCATTGTACCGCATGGTCGTACATTTTTTGCTGCGCAAAGATTCAATCAGTTTAACTTTGGCCATTACAAGAAGTAGGTTAGTGATGTAGGAAAATCCTTTACAGCACATGTATGTTATGTTATTATGTATGTTATTACCAAAAAAAAAGAAAAAGCCCGTCAATCACTCAATACTGACAATAGTGTCTGGCAGTAAAGTCTAGCAAGTAAACGGGTTTCCTTTGATAATTTGAATATTAGAACACTGCTAACGTTTGAATTTCACAGATAGGACAAACATGACATATTCATAATTCCTGAAAAGTTCTACAGAATTTGAGGTTGGCTGCAAAAGGGACATAGTATCTTTAATATGTTCTTTTTTATTCAATTATTGTGTTTAGAAAAATCCTTAAATAAATTCAAAATCAAAATCAATTTCAGATGGATTCATGTGATATTGCACAGTTCTCTAAAATTTGCTCGGGTTCAGGTCTTTATAGTTAAAGGAAATTCTTTGCAGATGTCAAGTTAACGTATTGGGTTTATTCCAATGCTGTCAATTAATATAATCATTTTGTTATATTATGAAACAATATGTCTTTTATGTATATTTTGTTTTCCGTATTATTTCTGCATGTGAAATGTGAAATCAATAAACTCAAACTCAAACTCAAACTCAAATCAACAGTTTATGATCACTTGAGTCTTCTCTCTCTGGCATTTTTACATTGATTATAATAAAATGCGTTGATAAAAGCACATATAATTTATTTCAACAAACTGGTTGATGTAATATTTGAATGGTTTGTATTTTTCTAATACTTTGATTATCATTATAGTTCTTGAAAAGTATCTTGATCTGTGTACATTTAAGAAGGCATTTACAGAAATTGGGCAACATTAAACAATGAGACGATATATGAGTGTTGTCATCATAAGTTTCAATGTTCATATATTCAAAATATTTACAAACTTTAAATTTGAACAACTTCCAATCCCACCCCCCCCCCCCTCTCTCTCTCTCTCTCCTCCAGCTTTCCTTATCATCCCAAGGCATGGTGTCCCTAGCTGCAGCCGTACCTGGTCTGTGGTCTATAGAGGGCGGTAACAAGCTCGTGCCTGAACAGCTGCTTTATAGATCCGGTGCAACGCTCATGAAGTCTCGGGTACAGTCCGTTGAATGTGTCGCCAGTGAGAATGCTGGAAGGCCCGCCTTCAGAGTCACAGGGAACGAGGTTGTCAAAGGTCTCAAGAGTGAGGTCTTTGACATAGTCATGATGGCTTCACCCATAGAGGACGATCTCTCAGGTATCGACTTCATAGGCTTTGATCATCCGGTCACCACCAACTTCACAGGCGACTACCGCCACGGCGCCTCCCTCGTCGAGGGGCGTCCGCGAGCATCAACATTCGGAGTCTCGCCAGAAGGTGAGCTCCCAGGACAGATCATCACCAACATGGAAGTGCCTCTGAACTTCAGAACTCTCGCCAAGAACTTCCCCGTGGACTATAACCCTGTGACATTCAACGCATCCAGGCAACTCTACAAGGTGTTCTCAACCGGTGTCTTGAACGATACGCAGATGGAGGCGTTGTTCGAGTCGTATTCCGAAGCGACACACCGCGATTGGTTGGCGTATCCCTATTACCACGAGCGTAAGACCTTCCCTGGGTTTGTTTTGGCGGAAGCCATGGAAATGGCTGTCATTGGGAGTAGAAACAGTGCCATATTGGCATACCAGTACTGGAGCGGGGAATCCCCTAAAGTGAAAGTGGGAGCCTCTAAAGTTAGGCAAGAACTATGAGAGTATAGTTATCTTTGGCCCGTATTCAATTCTGTACGGGATTAAGTCAGTATTTTACTAAGCATTTTACTTGGTTAAGTAATGTGACTCTTAACGCATTTTAGATTGCACTTGAGCATTTGACTTTAGTTAACCAATTCTTAGGCAAAATACTGACTGATAAGCATTGTGACATTTCATGATCATTCCAATATATTGTGCAATTAACAAATTGCATTAAATAAAGTACTAAGTATAATTGTATGTGGCTTATACTGACTGCGTATGAAAACCGCATGCTTGCCAATCAAGGCCTCTAAAGTTATTGGTTGTAAAGCCCGTCTGCACTAGTTTGGCCAGGAGGGATTAGACCTCCCACCATGGTCACTGACAGGTTGTTATCCCATCAAATCAGCTCTCAATTAACATAACAAAAAAGGGGATCATGGAGGACCAGCGGTCACCGATTAGGCACTGTTTGCTATATAGAGGGCGCAAGTAGCTATAAGTGGTGCAGTGGGGCTTTAAGTCAGCTAGGGAGCTGTCTTAACTCAGGGTGAAAAGCTTCAATAAAATACCTAAGTTATCTAAGCATTTACTTTCAAAAGCTTACAACTGATTTCAGATAAGAAAATAATTGTATACCGGCCCCTGTACCTCTAGAGTTCTGCAAAAAAAGTGGGTAGGATTCCTAAAAGAGAAAGGTAAGAATTATGAACGTATATCATTCCTTGTTGAAAGGGAATCATGCAAAATATCTATGCAATATGCCTGGTTTTATAGATTTCCAGATAATGGTAATGCAGTTCAATATAAAAATTGTTCTTCTCAAATTGATGTTAGTGTTGTGGATGTACACTGTAGAGCATCAAAATGTTATTAACAGAAATGTGTGTAATTTGGGGGGAACTGACTAAGAGATGGGGCCATGTTTTCAATTATATGTTGCCAACTTGCTCTTCAAATTAAATTAAATAAATCTACAAACAGGGAACTCCAATTGAAACAGAGGTCAGAGGATTTATAATTTTGTCCTTGTCATAATGGACTCTCGTCATCACCAATCACAAACAAAAAACATAAAAGAAACAAACCCATGTATTCTTTAGAATAGATTGTTTTAATGTACTTATAAAATCTCCAATATAATATGTAAATCACTGAAATATCTGTTACAAATTGGTCATTCCAGGGTTTGGGCAATGTTTGTGTCATAACAGAAGTGAGAAACTATGTCTTACACTAACCATAGCAATGTTTGCTCAAATTGAGTTTAGCATAAAAAGCATATTCATTTATGTTAAGCAGTATTTTAGCTCCACAGTGAATCATTATTATACATGTATATGTGATGTACATGTAAACTGAAATACATGTTACGTTCATATCATGCTGTAACAAAAGAAATGGATATTACACAAAGATTTTGAAGAAAAGCTACGTGAAACTGAAACAGGAATGATTGTGGCAGCACACTACCATATTGATTTTAAAATATCTCAAACAGATGATTTTAGATTTCATGTATAGTACAAGATCTTGTATCAACGTCATTAAGTGATCCACATGTGAGGACTACGTTCTTTAAATGGATACACAAGCAGTATTGTTGAAAGGACTTTCAAAGGTTTTGCAGATGATTATTTATCAATGTAACACTTCTAATATTTAAAAACAAAAACAAAATTAAACAAAAATTGAATCCTCATGAATTATGATATTAATGATCCTACCTCATGGATAGATTGTATATTTCTTGAAAATATTAATGATTATTGTATGCATTGTATGGATAAGCTAGTTAACTTCAAGCAGTATAATGTATTGAGCTTGTATACTAAGTAAAATAGAGTAACAATATGTCTCTAATTGAAATAGTGTAGTTGTTAGAGAGCATTCTATTGGCTGATAAGCTATCACTTGACACTCATCATTTCGTTATGTGTGTGTGTATCAATCAGATATGATTATATTTCGTGTGGGGACCGACCTTTTACGTCACTATCCGAAAGAAGTGACTCAGTTTCGACCTGGGCCTGTTTGTAGGCGAAGACGGAGAGCTGGCCAAGTGAAAGTGCGCTAGACCATCTCACATCTCCCTGTTCATGAGCGTGCAATATAAGAACTCTTTTTGAGCGGTAAAACGCGTAGAAAAGTGAATGGGACTGCACACCTCTTTGCCCGTATCTATTGCTTTCAGTGTCTTAGCTGCGCGTATCTCATGCGAAGGCAGTCTAAATGAAATCGACGAGGCCATACTCGAAAGGAGGAATGCACAAACTTGCAAATAATCTCAATTTTATATTTAAGATATTGCACGCATCATTGTTCAATATAGCATATATTCATCTCCAATTTAGAATTTCCCTCTTGTCATCATGCATTGCGGACCCTGTGAATACAAAAATTACTCTGGAAATTCTGAATTTGTTGGTCCATAGATTATATTGTATTGTACGCCGAAGCATGAAATGTTGTATAGTATCAACTATCATTGTGGGTGAAACTTGCCACTTTAAAAACTTTTTATTAGATATGAATTTTGCATAAAGTCTTTATAAATGAATTGATTTTTATTTTCAATCAATTTCCAATGTGCCATTACTATATCTGAAATATTATTTTGATCACAATCTCATACTGTCTTTTAAAGTTTATATGATGAATAAAAAATAATACCAGAATATTTTCAAGATTGTAATCCATTAATGATTGATTACTTCCATTAAAGCCACACTGTCCTACTTGTAGCTACTTGCTCCCTCTATGTAGAAAACAATGTTTAATCGGTGACCATTGGTCCCCCATGATCCTCTATTTCTTATGTTAATTGAGAGCTGAGTTGATGAGATAACCACCTGTCCAGTGACCTTGCAGGGTTATCTAATCCCTCCTATAAACTAGTGCAGATAAGCTTTAAGTGATGGTTTTAATACATGACATTGCTTTTATGAAAGTTTTTTTTTTTTCCTTCACATTTTGATGATTGTGCTCGTATCAACATTTGTAATGCATTTGCAATGCATCAGCACTTGCAAACTTGCCATTTGCAATGACCGCCTCCAGATATTTGTGATATCCCAGTTTAGTTTAGTTTAGTTGATCCTAAACAAACTCGAAGGTTTCCCTTTAGAAAAGAGACCAATACTAACATTGAGTTATTTAGAGAAAAGTTATTAGGAGAATGGACAAATGAAATGTTTTGAATGAACGTAATGTGAATAATGCATACAAACATTTCAATCGTAAATTACAATAATATTATGATAAAAATATGCCTCCTGTCTGAGGAAAACGTAGCTCTAACATTTCAAGAAACCTACGGATTACGAAAGGCATTATGAAATCAATCAGAACAAGAAACTACCTTTACAAATTATATACCTATGCAAAACCCAACAGACTTAACCAGCAGAAATGACCAAAAAATATCGCAATAATTGATAAATATCATTCAATGTTCTCGAAAGTTGTAGTACTCTGAACCATTAAGTCAATTTAGCTCCAATGCTCGAGCAACGTGGTGTATTACCACTGAGACAATGGGAAAGGAAACTTAACCTCTACCCTAAAATAATTTGATGCTAAATGGTAATGAGATACTCAATTCAAATAATACTGTCTACTTCGTTCAATACATTCATTAGTAGAATTGGCCCACAACTAGCAGAAGAAATTGATACTACAAATGTTGATTTTACAAATTTCCTTTCATGTTCTTTTGATAAATCTTTACTCCTTAACCAAACAAACTCAATAGAAATAATAAATTACAATAGCACTTAACTCCATTAAATAACTAGGTCACGTTAGGATTAGCACTATGTTTATTATACTTCATTGTATCCCCATTAGGTCGTAAACATGTAGTTGATATATCGACTTCAACGCGAGTATGTCCAGATCTAATACCTATTTATAACAAGCACAATCCACATGAATATACGCAATAATCACTCAGCACCTAGAATATTAAAATGTTCGCTAGCGTCCAGAGTACCTAGGTCAATATTATTCTCATCAGATGGACAAAGCCGTGTGTCTTCAACTTCTTGTAGCGCATACGCTGTGGAAAGATCGTCGAGGATTCCATCCAATTCTTTTGTCAGATCTAGGTATCCCATGTAAAGTGTTTTTAGTGCGTCAGAGTCTGAAAACTCACTAGTACTTGCAATGCCCTTTTGTCCCATGAATGTGCTCTTTACAACAATACTCTGCAATGACTGTTCCTGGCGTTTAATGCAATCTGCCATTACCTTTTCAGAGTTTTGGCGGATGTTGTCATTTTCTTTTAATAGTCTTTCCATGTGTCCCCGAAGAATTTCTGACTTTTCACGAAAGGAATTCTCTATTTCCCTATCTATATTATCCAGATGTGAATGCATATCACGCATATGTTGCTCACCACTGGTAATAGATACTTTGATCTGTGCTTTCTTCTTCTCACTTCTTTTAATCAGAGAGCTTCTTTTCTTTTTTAACTCTGCTACAACCTCTTCCTTCTTCTTAAACCTGTGACCCTGATGTTTATCAAGCAAACAAGTAAGACAGATGAATTCCTTGCAAACTTCACACAAAATATCTTTGTAGACTTGACTGTGCAGGGAACAGTACTCTGGTGATTTGTCATTGACCTTAAGATGTACATGTAATTCCTCCTCGAGGCCCTTTAAAGAGAAATTTGGTGAGAGTCCTGCGACTCTATTTTTCCCCAGCTTGTTGCGTTTCTTACAAAGCGGACACTCCATGAAATCTTGACCCCGGTGCTCTTTATCGTATTTGTCCAGACAGTCCTTGCAGAATGTATGTCCACAGTGTAAGAGAGTGGGGGCCTTGAAGACTTCGAGACATAATGGACATGTAAGACTTTCGGGCAGCTGTAGTTCTACCTTTTCAGCCATTGTGCAGTCACTCGAAGAGGCATTAATGTAGCGGAGAAAAGTGAGCAAGAAAGTTCAGCCACGTATATAACAAGCTTAGGAAGTCGAGGGCAGAAATGGAAATACCACTTTGTCTGAAAA